TGAGAAACTTTAACCGTATCAACCCAAAGCGGTTGCGACTGAAATGGTTGACCCCAATAGAACACGACCTTAGTGACTTGATATCGTAGGACTTTATGACAGTATTCACGGCTTCGATTCTGATTGGCTAGTTGCGAATTTGGGTACTGTGATGTATGATATTGTACGGTAATGTATGATACTGTCGGTAATGTATGATAATGTCGGTAATGTATGATACTGTACGGTAATGTATGATACTGTACAGTAATGTATGATACTGTACGGTAATGTATGATACTGTACGGTGATGTATGATACTGTACGGTAATGTATGATACTGTACGGTAATGTATGATACTGTACGGTAATGTATGATACTGCATCTAGCACTGGCTCTGAAGAGCCGTCATGAACGTTTATAGCCAAACGAGAAAAAGGTCATCATCTATGGCTGGAGAAAACTAATAACAATAACAACATTGAAACGTTTGTAGTTACCAATATAATGACCAAACACTGTAGATCAGTCAATGAAAATCGGTTATTTCACCATTTTGTTGCTTTGTATTTGAGAGACGGAGCTGGTTTGTTATGTCGAAGGTTTCCTCATAAGCTTATGCCTTTGCTTAGGTCGCTAGTATTCATTTTGCGGTTGTTAAAAGAGGCCAGGAAAGGTGAAAGAGATCAAAAAGAGACAGCAGTTATAACTGATTACTGGTTAGCTGTAGGCTTGCGCGGGCTCCTTTCCCGAACAGCGGCTGTTAATCGAGCCTTGTTAGTTGTTGTGTTCAGGAAATTAAAGATATTGAAATTTTACGTTATTCGTGGGAGTAGCTGAACTTCATGTAAGCTCACACTCAAATCCTCAGCTGAGGAACGTTTATCCTTTTCTGTAAAAGCTTCAATTCATAAACTGAATTACCCCAACAGATTCCGAGATTCACCCAGGGGCAGTTGGTCAGGAGGACGTCAAACGGGCAAACCAGTTCGAGGGGAAAGAGGTTTGCAAGAACGAGCGAGAGGGTCTCAAGTTCGTTCGCATCGTTTTCGCCTATTTGACCGCCTCGTCACCCGACTAGGCTACGTATGTAGCCATAGTTAGTGGAGGGGAATGGTTATGAAACCTGGCAAACTTCAGAGGACGATCTCTTTGTTTAGGTTTTTGCTTGGTCAAGTGATCGCGACCGTGCACAACAGAAATGCGAAAATGGCGTCCGGAGTCTCGTAGAAATTGAAGTTCGAATCAAAAATTCTGGTTTTGGCTGTTGAATTTGCTGTTAATTGATCGAGTATCGTTACGCCAGGAGATAATTGTCCTGTGTTTGGCTGTAGCGCAAGTAGAAGGACCAAAGAAGTAGGAATATGGAAGTTACCGAAGGRAAAAGACGAGGACCACAAGAAATGGAGGGAAGATTGGCTCGGGGAAATTACGAAGACAAGAGAAGTTGATCGCGACTTTAAGAGACAAGTAGAAAACGACAAGGTGTTTACATGCGAGAAACACTTTCATCCAGAAGATATTGAAACATGTAAGCAGTAAAATAAAACAAATTCTGGTTAAATACATTGCGAATTTGCGGTGATCTGTCTCAGACGTAGTGCATAACACATAAACATTTGAAACATTCTTAGGCAAGCTAGCTCCAGATTTTCTTCAGTATTTCTTCACTTAAATTACCTTGTTTTCCTCTGCAGTTCATTCAGAGAAAATGACGAAAAAACCCAAGATTTTTGGCACGTTACCTGTACTGAATATGCCGAAAAGAACTCACGATACTCCTAAACCGAAACAAAGAACCCCTCGCTCTGTAGTGAAAGATCATTTGCCACTGCCACGACATGCCGTGTACAAGAAAACTTCAAAGACCTGTGTCAAGGAATATCAGGGCTAAAGAGCTTAAACGACTGGAATATGAAGTTAATGAACGACAGATTTGTTGTAAAAAAGATGCTGGACCCTTTCCTCATTCCCCTCTCCAAGGATGCGAGACCAATGGACCAACCAGAATGGCTAAGTGGAAGTTGTGACGTCATGACGTGTCACGTCATATTCAGTTACTTGTAAACTTTATTTTTAAGGAGGGTATGCACAGGAACCGAAGACGGGTATCGAAACAGAAAAAGTTATTTCACATTTAACCACCCGCTGGCTCACGTACTTTTCAAGCCAAGTGTTGCGTGTTTCCTGTCAACCAGTGAGCGGAAATTATCGAGAAAGCCTCCGTTATTAATTATTAATTATTAATTAAAGAGGGTTTGGTTTGGGGTGGTAAATGTCACCTGTGGGTCAGCTAGACCTGATTACGTTGATTCACCTTATGCTAAGTTTTGAGTGTGAAGACTGAACGGCAGAAATCATTAACTAGAAGCAACACTAGCGTTAGCTAGGAAAGAAGCTATGCCGACTATGCCAGCAAACACGCTAATTCACAAAGACAACATGAACGACGAAAAAATGCACGGTATTCACTGTAGTCTGCATTGAACGTAACTTAACTTTCTGTGAAGAGAGAATAACAAACTCCGCAAAAACGAAACTGTTTCGATCACGCTACTGAAAACCAAATAAAATTTGACGGTACCCGAAACTGAAAACGAAATAGACGACCATGCAAAATCCTAACGCAACACATGATAAAATATACACGGAATAAAGGAGTGTTTACAGAAAATCAGTAAGGTAGCAACAGAAAAGTAACCAGTTTGTCGGTTTGAGATTGCGAGCACCGAGTAGAGGAAGAGCGCTGGTAAAGATAATATATAGCCTGAAAATTTCCAAAAAATTTTAAAGGTGAAAAAAAAAAAAAAAAAAAAAAAAATACAGAATAGGTGAGACCTTCCAGTAGCTTCCTCTGGCTGCGATGGGTGATAACCAGCTGAATAGAGCTGATTTCGAAGACTTATCCAATAACAACTTAGAGAGAGGCTACAAAGGCTTGTTTCAAATTAAAAGTGATCACTGTTTATTTTATTACTCGTTATCATTTAGTTAGAGTTCGTGTAGTTTTTGTTAACCGACATGATAGTGGATGATCTTGTTCTTTTGACTCTCCCGCGCCCCACGGAAAGGGCCGGTAACCTTGGAACTTGCATACTGGCGGCTCTAGAATTGCGAACATATTTCATACGAAGCTGCTGATCCATAAGGGATTCACCAAGAAGTCCCGGTGAAGGTCCTGCCAAGGAGTCCGCAAACGCTTGCAGTTTTCGGTCGGATTCGTTCCCTGTAAGCAAACTAGAGCGTCTGGAGTCAATGTCTCTGCTAGATTCATTAAAGATATCGGGCTGGGTGGGCGTGTATCTACGTATGGGTAAGCCTTGTCTGTAGGAGGGTGAAATCTGTTCTGCGTACAAGATCAGCAGCTTTTGAACGGATGTTCGTGACGACGAACCAGCGCTCTGCGAATCGGACACTTCCCGCGTGATATTTGCCGATCTTGAAGTGTTGTCCGCGGGAGAACTAAAAGTGTTTATCTGGGAGATGTCTGAAATTGTTTCTGCTGAAGGAGGTCGTTGAGGTTGAAATGATAGAACATTTCCTTGTTTTCTTATTCCAGATCTTCTTGACAACAGAAGATGTTTTTGCGCCAGATTATTGTTATTGTCGTCCAGCTTTAACTCTTGGGATTTGCTCGTCTGCGCGTCGGACATGTCTTCATCCTTTGCAAACAGAAACCCAAAAATGTCGTCTTCTGTGAATTGAACAAAACGTTGGCTTGTTTGCTCATTCTCAGCAATATGGAAATTACCGTGTGGAGAGTCAAACAAAAGCGATGAACATGTAAAAAACTCAAGAGATCCGTTTTGAAGGGCCCTGCGGTACTTAAGGACACTCGACACTGAAGATCCTGCTTGCTTTATGAGAAATTGCGCGCAGAGTTTATCTCCTCGTAAAAACGCAGCTATTAAAGGCCGAATACCATCGTTGTTAGCTTTATTAATCTCACTAGCAAGCGCTGTGTCTCTTAAAACCTCCACCATCATTTTCACAATGTGAAAGTTGCCAGACATCACAGAAAGAAGTAGCGCATTGTTTCCTTCTTTGTCTGTGACATCCACTCGGAGATCAATGCAAAGAGGGTCGTTCAGCAAATATCTAACCATTTCAACTCTTCCCTTAAGACAAGCCCAGCTGAGAACTGTACGTCCATAAATGTCCTTTTTGTTGAGATTAGCACCTGCTGCAATCAAACATCTCAGAATTTTCATCCTTGCTCGAGCATCTTGAAGAAAGCAACAGTGAATAAGACCTGTAAGTCCATTTTCGTCTGCTTCATTGACGTTTATTCCAACTTTTATGAGCATTTTAACTTGCGTCGTTCGTGCACCTTTCACGGCGTTTATGAGCAGCATTTTTTCGGCGCGTGGTCAGCCTCTCGATCTCGCTGAAGTGTCCAACGTGAAAGTTCTTGGAGAGCGCGCGGTTGAGATCGAGTGAGTAAAATCAAAAGTCAACTTCTTGTGTTTTCTTGTACTTAAGAGACTAAACGTATTTAACACAATCCTATCATTACTGGAGGCTTTATTTCACTATTCGGACTATTTAGACCATTGTTAATGAAGACAATTAAGTTTGATTGACAGGTGTATCGCTTACGTTATTAAAATTAATACTTTTTATACACTTTAATTATATATTTACAACTCAGTGACGATGACTTCCATGTTTGGACGTGCAATTGGTTCGCCCTCCTTATTTCGATTCCTTGCTAATTTTTAACTTGGAAAACAGCATAGCCAATTTTTAAGTTGTAGGTATGGGGGTGAATCTCACACCATCCTTCACTCCTTCGCTTCCTGTTAGACATTACGACCATCCGCTGACATAATGTTTGCACAGTCGCATGCGCCCAGTTCAAGTTACAACAATAGCTGGTTTTCACATGACGTCACCAAAATTCAAACTACAAAACTATTGATCTTCCTGCAATTTTACTTTAATGATGGATAAGAGCAGCTGAAACTAACATTCATACACAGTTTCGCTCCGAATGGGTGCTTGGTTTTGTAATACACTAGGCTTGAATTTCTAAGCTTTTACGTGACGCGGCATTTACATGAGGGGCTAGAGAGCTGTCATGAGAAAATTCACGCTTTTGTAGCAAAACTTACTGACAGATGTTTCTGTTGGTTTCCGGCCGCCATGTTGGTACCTATACGGATGGACACCAGCATGGCGTCTCCATGCAAATCTCTATAAATAATTTGGGTAAAAATTTTCTCCTCGTATCTTACATAAGAAAAATTAATGTGACCAGAATCTTGGCGAGAGTCCCTACATATTTACCTTCTTTCTTTTCCCAGATTCTGGACTTGATCTGTTGAACGGTTTTGATTTTGATTTTGATCTATTTTGAATGGCGTGACACTGAAAACCAGCAATAAGTACAACTGATAATAACCTTTATTTCACCTCGAATTTAAAATAGCAAACATTGAGGTAGAGGTGAAACGATTTACTCACGAGTGATTTGTTTTTCATTGGCAATGTTTATCATTTGTTCTTTACATTTCTCAAGCATGTATTCGATATCAGACTGCAGAAATATTTTATAAGAGAAGGGTGATACCTCTATGTGACTTCGAGGTGACTTCATCACTGCTACGTCTTTTCTAAGACCCCTCAAAGGATAAGAAAGAAAGAAAGAAAAAATATTCGAACCCCACAGTTGGAATTGATCCCAGGGGCAATTCAAGAACCTTCAATTTGTAATACTGATCAGTTTGGGATCCCATCAAAGATATCCAACCTTTATACCCACGGAACGCTCGAACTCTCCCGTGTCACATGACGCAATAATATCGGAGAAGCCGAAGTCGAAGAATCCTCGGAGACCCAGGGGCAGGTAGTCGGGCAGCTTTTCGGGCGAAAGTTTACATCAAGAGCGGGAGAGCCTGAAGTGGTTCGGTAAGCGGAGTAATTGCCCAGGGGCTCTCCTGCTCTTGATGCAAACTTTCACCCGAAAATATCACGTTCGTTGCGTTCCTTTGAAGCAACAGTCACGTACTGAGCTTAGCCAGTTGCGGGATCATGCGGGATAACGAGCGCAATGACACGGGATTTACAATTACCCAGAATGCTTTAACAACAAAGCACTTGGTAACCGAGCCATTAGGGAAAATCTCTGAGGTTGTGTATGTTTTGGGAATTTTTTCGCCTAATTTCTTGAAACTATGAAACCATTATCTGTAATAAACTGGACGCGCAGATCGGAAGATGTTAGATGATCTCCCAAACCTTGGAAAATCTAAGCCCAGTCATGGAAGGTAAGCTGCAATTACGTTTTAATGACAGCTGGTATTCCCGCTAATGAACAGTCTCCGTGGTTGCAGCCATATTGTATACATACCAACTTTCTACTTAAGCTTATAATTAAATTGTAATTGTAAGTTCAATCCTTATTTTCTTTAAAGCATAGCCAATTTACAAAGTTCGGGAATAACGATATCTATGCTTCTGGACGTCTGAGGTACCTTTCGTCAGGAGGAAGACCTTTATTTGCTTCGATTATTTGCTTAGAATATGTTCTTTTAAACTTAATTTTTAATATATAGTAAATGGTTTGTAATTTTATAGCTAAGGTAAATTTACTCTTTTTGAATATTATAAGAAAACTTTCATGCAGCAAGAACAAGAAAAAATTCAAGTTGCATACCGAATGTAGTATTAATTAGATTTTTTGATCAACATCTCCCTCCTTAGACTTACAAGAGAGACTTTTCTACGAGATTTTTCTAGTGGATATATTGGATGCAATACTTAAGCAAAGAGCACTTTTTCTGTGTTTACATAGCCTCATCTAAACACGAGGGAGGTTCAGAGAATTCAATACAGTTATGCAAACCCAAGACACAGTTTGCGAGATGCAATTCTCGAAAGTTATGCAAACCTGGGGTAACCCGAAAACACTGACCCCCGGTCTGCGGACCCCCACTACGGACCGGGTCCACAGACTACCTACGGACTGGTCCACGGACTACCCCTACGGACCCCCCTATGGACCACCCCCAAAATAGAATAAAAAACAAAAATAAAGATTTCACTTACTGTTTCTCCGATAGATCACTTGTGTCGGCGAAATTTCGAGCGTAAAGCTGGGAAAATGTAACAGACCTGGGTTCAGTCTCGGGAGCAAGTTTTATCATTACAGATCATTACATATTTGCCATTTTCTAAAAGCTGTTTTCGGGAAGAAGAGATGCCAATGGCAAAAAGACGGAAAGTTTTTACCTTCTGTTTGTGGCTTAATCGGGCTGCAAAAGACGTGATTTTAGGTCGTTCTAACTTGTTTATAATTGAAATTCTGTTAAGCAAATTGTGAAGCCTGGGACGAGTTCACGAAACCGTGGGAGAATGGGCTGAACAAGATGGCAAAGGAAATGCACTCGAAGCAGCACAGATTTCGAGGCTTCCTAGAGATTTCCCAGTCTTTCATACATGCTTATAGCCACAGCAAAGGAAATGGCAATGTGCAATGATAAAACTTGTGCCCGAGACTGAACCCAGGTCTGTTACATTTTCCCAGCTTATCGCTCAAAATTTCGCTGACACGAGTGATCTATCAGAGAAGCAGTAAGTGAAATCTTTATTTTTGTTTTTTATTCTATTTTGGGGGTGGTCCGTAGAGGGGTCCGTAGGGGTAGTCCATGGACCGGTCCATAGATAGTCCGTGGACCCGGTCCGTAGTGGGGGTCTGCGGACCAGGGGTCAGTGTTTTCGGGTTACCCTGCAAACCTGAGATGCAGTTGAGGGTTAGCATTACTTTCGAGAATTCTCCCAACCCCTCCAAGTGTTTAAATGAGGTTATGTAAACACGGATAAAGTACTCTATTGCTTTTATGAAATATTTCTCAAAGTACACCCAAATCTAAAATTTCTTAACTGTGTTTATATGCTCTCATCTAAACAGATCTATCGACTGATGAAAGCAGTTATTTTATAAAAGATGGGTAGATTTCAATATTCCAGCAATACTTGTACTGTGTTAAGGTACCATGAGCTCTTATTTCTTGACTGGGTCAAGCTAAAATGATCATGTACACTCATCCATTGGATTAAGGAAACTTGAAGATTCTTGTGGCCTGTGCAATACTGTGTATACATGTGTTACTGAGTGATTGATTGGTTGAATTTTTGATCAAATTATAGATCACCATGGAAAGTGGGATAAATCAAGAGGAAAGCCTGGAAAACACAAAGAAGAGGTACATGTATATGTACTTGTAAATGAAAATAATGACTTCTAGCATAAGAATGATTACATTGTACACATACACATGGTTCTCAAACTGATCTAGTTCTCAGAACTCTCACTCCTTCTTGTCCATGACCAGTAAAAGCATGGTTCCTGGAAATAAGATTGGCATGAACAGAGATGATCTGGAACAATATTTAGCTCTTATTAACCGAGCTGGAGGTCTGTATGGGAGAATCTTGACCGAGGTTGTGAGCACAGACCGAACGCAGTGAGGTCTGTACACACAACCAAGGTCAAGATTCTCCTGTACAGACTGACTTAGCTCGGTTAGTAAGATGTTTATTATATGGCAAAGAAGAAAACTTTAATTCGTTTAATGTAACTGGTTTGCTGACATTTTGCTCGCGAACAGTGATGAGCTTAACTTAAACCTGCCGAAATTTGCTTGTCCTCTTTACTTTTTTTTTTTTGTCATCAGGCTTTTTGACACTTCCATAAATAA